AGAAAACACCACCAACACAAGAGATTGGCTTGGCCATGACTTGTTCACATGTGTAGCTGTTCCTAGATTCACTGCTGTCTTGAGCAAGACAGACTTCATCACAGTGTCCAAGCCCATTCTGAATGAGGCTGATAGACTGCACCCGTGTCCCTTTCTGAGGTTAACACGACAAACTGGATCCTTGGGGAAGGGACTCTGTTCATACCCCAGTCAACGCTGGCACTTATTTATTTTACTGTTAAAAAAGTTTAGAAGATGTAAAGGAGATTCCAGGGCCAATTCTCTCCATCAATAGGATTGACAGTAGATGTTAACATGGTATCCAGAGTTCCACTGTGCTTCCATATTCCTTGTGATTCTTTGTAGGGGTTGCTTAAAGATGGTGAGGGATGAGAAAGAGTATCATAGAAATGTCAGCTATCTCGAAGAGACACAAAGTAGGCCTTAGCCTTTATGTTTCACCCGCCAGTGTGTGGACTCCTACACGTTGATTGTGTTCCCATAATATGCATAATTCTTGTCAAGTTCATATATCCCTTGACTATTATTTCCTTAACATTTTTTTTAAAATGGTTCTTCCCACATTGAAAAATGTGCACAGATGTGAAACTATATATTACTGCTCTTAATGGAAAAGCATTTCCGCTTGTCATTAAAGAGATCATCACAAAAATACATGAGTGAAGACAACTAAAAACCATGCTCTGAGGGCTGGGGTTGTAGCTCAGTGGTAGAGCGCTTGCCTCACATGTGTGAGGCTCTGGGTTCAATCCTCAGCACCACGTAAAAATAAAGGTATTGTCCATCTACAGCTAAAAAATATTTTTTTTAAAAAATGCTCCTAAAATCTAGTCCCATACATTTGTCAGATCAAGGCTTCGTGTCTAGTCCAGCTCTCTCAAAGGTAAGGAGCTCAGAGGTGTGATGAGGTGCTGGGGGCTAGATGCCACCAAAGACTTGCTTCTTGGGGGACTCAGAAAGAGAGATGGAGGACTGAAAAGGAAACGTTTTCTCACCACAGAGTTTAATACCATTTAATGTCCCTTTCTGAAAGTGGACCTCAGGACACTGAAGAGTGTCTCAATTTAAGGGCCAACCTGCTAGTAGAATCATGCTTGTCAATGTCTTCTTAGACTGCAGAAAGTGCTTCTACACCCAGTGTTCTCTTTGGTCCTCATGACAACTGTGGACCATAGTTTTCACTTTTATTGAACTGGAACTAAAAGAAAAAAAATAGATGCTGGAAATATAACTCAGTGGTAGAGCACTTGCCTGGTGAGTGTGAGGCCTTGAGTTCTATTCTCAGCATGCCAATAAATAAATAAGAGGAAAAATAAGATATTTTCAGCTCACATGGCAAGCCAATGAGAAAGCTTTCTAGAAGTTTAGGATTTTTTTTTCCATTTTAAAAAATGCATTTTGAAGTTTGATAAATTCTCCACTATATTTTGCACAGTTTTATTTTTTTTAAATCATCTTTTTCCTTCAAGTAAGAGACAAATACTTAGTCTCCTATATTCTCCAATGGAAAGGGTGTGATGCCTTCCCACATCCTTCCATATCAACATTTGCACAGCAGTGGAAATAGAAAAATGAGCAGCTACTAACCTATTTGAGAGTGCAGTATGTAGGCCTTGTATCCCTTGGGTCTACTGGTTTCCAAAGGCAACTTTAACAGAAGGTAGAGTTTCTTATCTATGTACCATAGGAAATTAGCTATTGCCCCTGAGAAAGGCTGAAACATATGGGACCTTGATGCATAATATATATTTAGAACAATCATCTGGTTGCAGAGCAGAGTTTTGTAAAGTCCCCAAAGTCTCTAAGCTTTGATTCACATTGTTTGTCTATTGCAACGGTAACACCCCCATTTGGAGCCTGGGTTGGTTTTACTTACCAGAGTGAGTACTGAATAAACTAATCGATCACCAATCCAGTTTGGTTATCTTGTATTATTGAAATAAATTCTGCCAAGCAAAATAACCAATCCTCGTTACGATGACGGCAGAATTGGAGTGCCTACAGAGCGCAGGAGATGAACCGTTAACTTGATCAGCTGTATAAACAAAGTTTCTGACCAGTGGAAAATGTTAGCCAACATCAAGGCAAGGGAAAGGCTTTGGATGAAAAAAATCAGAGAAGCTGCTAATGGAATATAACATGTCCCCAGGCCCAGAGGGGAAAATAGGCAGAAAGATCCTTCCCACGGTTAGTTTAAGGATCTGTGAAAGAGATGGAGTTCCATGTGGCGCTCGCCAGAAACCCAGTGGAAGGCATGCACTAGAGCGAGGCGTTTTCTCATCTGCCGGACCGGCTCCTGAGATTGTTGATTCTGAGCCTGAGTCACTGAGTTAGAAAGATCTGTTATTCATTGCTGGAGCCATATCAGATTTAACAAGAAAGTACAGAATGTAATAAATATGTAATGAACATCTTTCTGAATCCTGTTATTTCAGAGCTATTTCATAAGCGGTGAGGACTGTAGTAGTTCTAACAAAGATATTCATATTAGACACACCAATCTAATTCAGTTGGAAAATTCGCCAAATCCTAATGATTCTATGGAAAGGACAATATTGGAATAAGTTCTATTACTATGAAAATACCAGACCATATGCATTGAGCTTGTATATTGTTTACCATATATTTATTAATAAATTACTTATAGACAAGACTCTAAAGACTCTGTGTCCCTCATCTACAAGAATGTCACCCAGTCTTGTTATGTGGTAATCATTGAATGGATGCTGTGGCTGCTGGTGTATTGAATGACAAATCTTTCCTTCACCTTCTTGTCCAAAGTACCTAATTGAGAGATAGACTGGATGTAAAGTCCTGACCACATAGTAGCTGCCAAGATGATTCTGACAGGGACATTAGTGCAGTCGGTCACCTCAATGAACAAAGGAGCATGACTCACTCTCAGCATTCGATTATTTAAATTGAAAAATGAACACCCTACTCTGGAGCTAAATCATCATTTAAAGCATTTCTATTACTCAGAGTAATCTAAGTCTGTGGTAAAACATTTAAAAATATTTTTAAAATAAAAAATTAAGACATTTCTGACCATCGATATTTTGTTCCCCATATGTGGGTAGCTGTTGGTCCAAATTTCTCTCTCTCATCTATTTTTTCCACCCCAGGCATTTTTACTGACAAAGTAAATGTGGCTTTTCTATCCCCTATCTACTTTTCCTCTTTATTATATAGTTTAAATTAGCTCCTTGTTTAATTTTACTAACTAGGTACTCCATAACAAAAAAGATTCTAGAAGCTAACTTAGCAAGAAATAATCCTTTTCTGCTCCAAAGAAAAGTGGAGAAGAGACAAAATTGTGTGTTCTCATGCATAAACGATTTTTGTCCTTGTAACACAAGTAAATATGCCTAATTGCATCCCGAGGATTTCTTGGAATCAAAACAACATTGAGAGTCACACGTGCTGAAACTTCACAGAATTCTCTCTTTCCAGCTAGTCATGGCAGACACACACATGTGCAAATCATGAAGTCACTGTCACAACTTCCCGTTTGATGGAGGAAATGACAGCGATCAATGGACCATTGGTAGGAAAAATGCTTAGAGATCGTTCTTGAAAGTGGGGCTGCCTGTGCAGCACAGAACCCTTTCCTGAACCCACCAAGAATTCTTGCATCTTGATGCTACCACAGGGCTTATTGAGGCAGATGCTTCCCACTGTTGGTCTCAGCCTACATCTGAACTTTAAGCAAATTCCTCTGGCTCATTCCCTAGCACTAAAAAAACCAACAATGAATCAAAACAAAACAAACAAACAAAGAAAAAAAACCCAAAGAACAAAAATTAGAAGCTCTATTGCTATAGGAGTTTTAAACATCATTACTCTTCATTTTAATTTTTTAGCTTAAAATAGCCACTGCTATCCTATCTTAGAGACCCATGAAACAAAGTAAAGTACATTAGTTTGGCTCCCCCTGACTCTCATTTCCTTTGACAATAAATCTGGGTGCTACCAAATTCTGCTGTGACTCTAGCTTGGCATTCACTCTGACTGAGTGCAGATGATGTCAAACTATCTAGAATCAGTTCCCTGAAGAGCAGGGGTGATTTTACCCCCAGAGAACAGTTGGCAGTGTCTGGGAACATTTTTGATTGACCCTACTGGGAAGCAGCAGTACTGGTATCTGGCGGGTAGTAGGCAAGAATGCTACCAAACATCTTATAATGCAGAGGACAGTCCCTACAACAACAACAACAACAAAATGACCCAGTCCTAAATGCTAATAGTGACCCTAGGTTAAGAAATTCTGTTTTGCGATATTTGAGTCAGTAGCTTTGTGAATATATTCTCAGAGTTTTGGTTACAACCATGAATGCTTCATGGGCAAAAATAATTCTTATTTTTATCTAACACGGAAGGGCTCCTTCTAAGAAAATACTACTTACAGTTTACAAACAAAATCACAATTTCTTTCATCCACTATTAGTGTCTGACATTTCTACCAGTGATGGTTTCTTTTGGATAGGAAACTGTAAGATTCCAAGAGGTCATTCATTTATTTATATAATGTAAATAATTATTTACATAATTTAATAATTATTTACATAATTTAAGTAAATTGTGAATTACTTACTAAGTTTTTGGTCAGTGCTATCTTCTTAGGAACCCTTTTACCTCTTTCTACCCCATCCCTTTGCCCAGGGTACTCATAAATTATTATTGAATTAATAAGTCCGTAGTTCAACAACTTAGAACATCCTATATAGATAGAATTGTCCCTATCAGGAGCAACTTGATGGCAAATATATGTATATAACATTCTATGTGCACCCTTTAAATCACTGCTGACAGCTGATCTGGTCAAGAAAAATCCTGCCCTGGACCCTGAGTTATAGAGCATCACTCCCACCAACAAACCTTGTGCACAGGGTCATGGAGATACTTGTCTTGGAGGCCAGGAACAGGACCTTGTTCCCCAGTGCTGAAGATTAAACATCCAAGGAATGTGGAGGCAAGCATAGAAGGTAAGTTTTATTGAATACAGGGACAAACAAACAAAAAAATGAGGAACAGAAGTAGAAAACTTCTCCACAGAGAAGGGGGCCCAGGGCTGGGTGCCCATGGGAGTGGGTGTCTTGCTTTTTTATAGACCCTCAGAATTCCCCACCTTCTCTTTCTTCTCTTAAGAACATGTGCCTAACGGCAGCAACAAGGAGCAGCACAGGGGTAATGGCTTGTGTTTAAAAGTGCTGTCCCTGGAGGTGTTAGCAACCACAGAGCTGGGAAGTGTGATCCCAGAGGTTAGCTGTTAGTAACCCACTCACCACCAGCCATAATCCTCTCTGGACCACCGTCATTCATTGTCTATATTGACTGCCTCAGTTTATTGAGGAATGTGACAGGCAGGGTTTCAGGCAGATTAATTTTTGGCAAAGAAAGCATGTGGGGAGTCAGTCCAGTGGGCTCATTGTATGGGATTGTTCTCTTAACCTCCTGTTCCCACCATCCTCATCAATTTGTCGCCATACCATGGGAATGTGTCCACCTGGAATCTGTGCCACACCTCCTTCTGGACCACTCTCTGAGTGCCAGGGACCCTGAAACAGATTTCCCAAATTACTGTACCCATTCCACAACCTGAACCAGCCTGTTTCCCTAATGGGTTTCCCTGTGGGGACATACGTCCAGAAATATGGATCACAAGGTCTGAGCAGGAACAGCTGCTGCAGTGTTGGACTGGAACCAGGGTGTGTGTGCATGATGCACCTGAGGCCCTGGATCATGGGATGGTCTGGTTCATGAGGAGAAGGGAAAGGGACTGGGGGCAGGTGCCAAAATTCTTCTTACTTTTAAATGATCTAATACAAATTGTAAGAGGTCAAAGAATCCTGTACCAGAAAGTAACCCTCATAGAATGTGATGAAGATCATCACAGGAAGAGAAAGCACTTGATTCAATAGCTACCTGGAGTTTGTAAGTTAAGTATTTGAACATATGATATGTGAGTCTCTATTATTATACTTGTTTCAAGAAGAAGGAGAGGAGGAGGAGGAGGAGGAGGAGGAGGAGGAGGAGGAGAGATTCAGGGCATACCTTGGCTTTCAGGGTCCTCTTCTCCCAAGTAGAATCATGTAGCCAGCTTCAGAAACTTCAAGTTTTAGCTATTTTTCCAAGGGCATGGCTGATGTTTGGGGGATTGCATTTTATGTAGCCTTGGTGATAAATCACCCCATCTTAAACATATTGGCAGTTTGAAGTGATGGGTCAACAGATGAACAAACAGAAAATTATGTTTTCATAATCAGTTTGCTGAGTCAGAGCAAGAAAAAAAGCACAGGACAGGCAGCAGAGGAAAGATGGTATTGAGGGGAGAGGTGCTTTGCTTAGCTAGTGTAGAACTGATCACCTAATGAAAGCGGGGGGAGAAGCTGGGGGATGGATACTGAGATAAAGCAGTAAGACAGGGAAGGGAAGGAAGGAGAAAGACACAATCAGACTACCTTCTTTCTCTCCCCCATTCTGCTATTGTTTCGGAGGACTGCAAAAGGAGGGAAGCCACAGAACTTCTTCTCTATTCAGTAGCCATTTTGACCTTGGCTAAATGCCTTAACATTACATCTGAGAGACAGGGTATTCCCCCTTGTTCCAATTCTATCTTAAGGTCCTGCAAAGCAGGAAGAACTTGGAAGGATGCTATATTTGCATCCTGCTTGGCGAAAACCTCCAGGGCACCTCATTTCTTACCTCTCTGGAGGAGAAGCCGACTTAGTTTCCGGGAATGATTCCCACAGGTAAGACTCTGCTGTCCCTCAGTCAGGTGAAGGGTCCAGACTAGTGTACCCAGGGACAAGAGGTGGCAGAGAGGGCCTCTGTTTAAAATGAACAAGGTGGCATTTTCAAGATACTTGGGACTTTTTCCTTAAGTACAATCTCAACCCAGAAGGCTGGTGGCCCCTGGCAATGATCAGAACAGTCCCCGAAATACAGACACTCAGAGGCTTACTCTCACACATGACCCCAGGTCCCACTGAAATCCCCAGCCAACTCTACAGCCAGGCCAGAGCAAGGCCAGCAGCGGCTGCCTGTGTGATTAATCGCCTTTGTTTCCTCCTGAGGGAGTGAACCCCCAGATAACTACAGCCACAGAAGGGAGGGGAGAGGCCTCCACAGGGAGGTTTCTCTGACTTCCTCCAGGCCAGGGTGTGCCTGGGAACGGGACCCTGTGCTTAAGCTCAAAGAAAGGTATGTTTCCAAGAGACAATTCCACAGCTCAGAAAGTTAGTCATTAATGTAATGGTCTGAATCTACAATGAGGAAAAGATTGAAGCTGACATGATTTTTATCTTTGATATTATAGCTTCTGAAGTTGAGAAGTAATTACGTATGTTAATATTACATCCATTCGATATTCAGTGAATTTTTTTATGACTCTTTCTTAATTAATCTTCCCTTTTCCTTCCCTCTCTGTTCACGGCATGGGCAAACAGTCATGTCATGGATCCAGGGTGATTTGAAAAGGAAAGAACTAGGAATCCGAAAACCTGAGATTTGGGTTCAGACTAATGTTCAACTTTAGGTGTTTAGGAAATAATCAGTGAAAACATTAACCTGCAACATGAGGGTAGAGTACCCACGTAGCAAAGGTAAAGCCCAGTATTCAATCCCCAGCACTACAAAATAATCACACTAGTACCTGCTAAAAAAGGATGCTGCACCAAACACTAGGTGAAGATTTCATATATCATGTCTTTGAATTCTTATTAAAATTTTGTGGGATATGAACTACTGTTATGTCCATTTTAGAGATGAGGAAACTGAGTAGATGCTGCGTCCCATGGCCATTGGCTGCTTATGTCCAGCAGACAGGCTTTTGAGGTCCCTCTTGCCTTCCCCATTGTGCTTCATGAGCTTGGGGTGAAGACAGAGGTGGGGTGCAAGAGGGAGACCTGGGAATAACAGTTTTTACTGCTTCACAAATGATACCACTTTCTCCATCATCCACCTTGCTTCTCGACAGTGGAGGATATCATCGGCTTCATCTTCTTTACTCGTGACCCTCAGAAGACAAAGTAACCAAAAGCTTCAGAAAAGCAATAACAGATCTCTAAGTGCTCTTCCCCCCTCAGCGGAATCTAGCATTCCCAGAGTGCCGGAAAGCATTACCAAAGCAAGGAATCTGCAATAGCCGGGCTTCCCTTCAGCTTCAAGCATGGACACTCGACAGAGCTGCCAAGTGCAAATCACCAAAGCTGGCCACTGTCCTCATCTTTCAGTTCCCCAGAAAACCTGGGCTCTGAGAAGCAGCTTGCTGAATAATTACATTCCTGGAGGATGTTTTAGCTGCTGCCCTTGGATGTTTGGTAATAACAATGCAACTATAAAAATCAAATAACATTTCATGCGTATATGCAATTATCAGTGCACAGTCCACAGAGTGTTAATATCCTCCATATTATATCACCATCAGCCTACATTCATGGAGCTTGCAATCTTGTGGCAGATAGACTTTAAATAAATTCCAAAGACAAATTAATATATAATTATAAATTGTGGCTGATTCATGTTATGAGTGGACATAACTTGGTTTTATGAGAAAAATTAACAAGCTAGTAATTTATCATGGGTGGCTGATTGGATAGGTCAAAGATGGCATTGCTGATCCAGTCAGGCTTCGCAGCTGAAACACAGAGGGTGGCTGGGAGGCAAGAAGTTAGGGAAGAGTCTCAAGGCTTAGGGAATAGTGTGTTCCAAATTGATCAGTCAGGAGGGCAAGGAGTAGAAAGTTAGAAAATAGAGTGGAAGAGAAGTGGAGTTCTGCTCGCAGCAGGTGCGGAAATGACCCAGGTTTCAAAGCCCAGTGTCTTCTCCCCACTTTTTCAGTTCAGTTTCTTGCCCTGGGCTCAGACCTGTCAGTTACCATGGCTCTGTGGATTTACTCCCCTCTCTCCTCCAAAAGACAAGTGCCACTGTCCGGCTGCAGCAAAATAACGGGGGGTGACGAACAACTTGTGTAGATTGATACAGCAGGAGTGGGAGCCGTTTAGTGTAGGACAGGAGGGGTATATATACATTCCACACAGCTTATCTTAATTAACATAAACTAGATACAGCAGTCAACCAATAAGGAATCTCCACACTTAATGGCTCGCTGGCGTTACTTCACAAACCACTCCCTCTGGAAAAATGCCAGGCGCCATCCTGACTTGTTTACAGACCTTAACAGACAAGCACCCAAGGAGGCTTTCACTGTGGTTCACACACTCAGAGGGCCGGGCAGAACACAAGCTCCCTGGGAGAAATGCTGAGTTCTTTACTAGCTTTGAATTATATGATTTCAAATTGCAAAAAGCACTGTAAAAGGGGCAGCTCATGCAGGAGTTCCACAGACCCATTCCCAGGGGCTTGGTGCTGGAGAGTGCTTATCTGCATTGGGTACTGACCTTGGCTTGTCAGAGCTGACTGGTCCTGCCTCCCTGCCTCCTTTCCAGGGCTAATGTGTTATGAGCAGACACTCTCATACATAAAGGAGCCAAAGATTGAAAGAAAAATTTCCCATGAATTTTGAAATTTCTATATGATGGCAATAGTCTTTTTCCAAATTGTTTGCCAATCTGGATTTTCTTTATACACAATTTGGAGACAACTACTCTCCCTCGTTCTCACTAGCTTTTAAAAATGACTTCCAAGGATTATAAAACTTCAAAATCCTTAGGATCAATAAGGAGAGGGTCAGAGACTGGAGTGACACAGTCTCTTGTGATCAGGCAAGAAAGCTTTGTAAGGGATGATAGAGTGGTGATGGGTGGCCGTTTTGCTTTGGAAGAGAGAGGTATGGGGTATTTCCATTGGACCCACAGATTATGGTTCCCAAACAGCAGCAAAACCATAGTCTTTGACTTTGTGCTACATAAGCACGTCTTCCTCTTTTTGTTATTATACAAATAATAGCTGAACTTATTCTTGTTTTCAAAGCTAATCCTTGAAGAGTCAGAATGAATTGTAAACTCATGTCTCTTCCTGCTCCACCCTGTCATTGCCCTTCCTTTCTCACAACCACAGTGATGTCTTTTTATACATCTTCACACTTACATACCCAGGTGTCCCACTCCACATGGCTTTTACCTCTGAGGATGGAAACTGGTTCAAAAATTTCTATCTGTTCTGAACATTCACAAACTTTTTTTCTTATCACTATTCCTGGAGAAAACACAATAAAGCTATGAATTATACAGCCGTTGAAGAAATTATACATTGTTGAAGGTATTATAAGTGACGATCAAAAGATGATTTAAACTATACAGAAGGAATGTGTAGGTTGTAGGCACGTACTATGGCATTTTATATAAGGTACTTGAGCATCTGAGAATCTGGAGCTAGTCCCTTCTGGATACCAAAGGGCAACTGTATACATATACATGTGCTTTGGATTAAAACTGCGGGATATGAACTACTGTTATGTCCATTTTGGAGATGAGGAAACCGAGGCTGCCCATGGAGATGCTGAGTTCCATGGCCATTGGCTGCTTTGCCCAGCAGAATGGCCGAAATCTAGCAGACTGAATCCCTCTCGGTGAATATGTCAGAGAAAGCTTACTCCAGGTACATGAGAAATTCAGGTAATTCCCTATGGTGGCACAGAACAGAGGCTTATACCATAGTGTGGAGTTGAATTCTGAGACCAGCCTGGGCAGAGACAAGAGCAGAATCTGGGGTGGGGACAGAACTTTGCCAGCAAGTGACAAGAATTCATGTTCTTTAGACTTACTTTCATCTCTATTAGGCCAAGTGGTATTAGAATAAAAGTCACTCCACTTTATTCAACCAGCCCAGATAAAAATGCCAAGAACTTTGCATATGCTTTTCTTTAAACATTTACAACAACCCTACAAGGTAGGGACTATTATTACTTCTGTTTTCTAGATGATGACACTGAGGCTCATTTCAGAGATTAAGGAATTTTCTGGAGGTCAGGAAGCTAGCGAGTAAGTAAGGAGATAATATTCTCAAGTTAGTGTTCTTGATCACTACATTTTACCCCTTTCCTAAAAAAAAAAAAAAAAACCATATCCAGATCACAGGAGCTTTTGAATAAATATATATGAATACATATGACTGTTCATTTTGGTCCCCAAAGACTATTTCAGGAAATTGAACCATGCCCATCCAAAGCCAGCCCCTGACTGGTTTATTCCCTTGCTGGGTTGGCCCACAGTCCTTTGCATTCTGCAAACATGAGTTTTCACGCAGGCAAC